ACATCATGGATACCAAAATTCTTATGGTGTAAAATTTCCAAAATAGCAGACTCTTGGCTCGAACTCTACCTAAAAACCTGCCATGCATAAAACCACACACAGAAAATTCTTTTCAGCCATGCAAGATAAAATCCAAACAACCTGTTCAAGTCCAGCAACACAGTAAGGACCCCAAGCACAATGGAGCTGGCAAGATGGCCACATAGCAGCGAGTTAAGTGCCCTGGCATTGTGCCACCCTAAGTGTCAGAAGAACTGGACTTAAGTGAGTGATTATTCTCTTACTGTAGTCCCTCAACACAGCAATATTGATATGCCTAACACTAACAGATAAAATTGAAAGGCTAAGGACTCATGCCAATAGAACTCAGCACAGCCTAAGGGATGCAGCAGCAGATGTATGTACAAGTTGACCTGGAGAAGAGAGTAGGGAGCCAATGATTGAGGACAACCAGTAAGACTCTCCAAAGTGAGCAGAGCTGAAGTGAAACTCACACAGGAAAGTCACAGCTGCTGCTATGTAGAAGACTATCTTGACTAATCCGAGGAAGTTCTTAAGAAAACAGGACAATGAGCTAATAAGAAATGACCAATCTAGGAGTTGCAGAGATGCAGCTCAGTGGTAGAGTGCTTTCCAAGGCATCTGTGAAGCCCCGGGTTTGATTCCCAAGTACCACAAAACCCCCAACCAGAAAATGTAGCTGGAACATGAGTCAGTTAGTCTGGGGGCCCTGAAAGAGTGTAGCTGGGAAGGATGAAAGACAAAAATTCTTTATAAACAGCTTTGGGAAAGTCTGAATTTTATCTGGATGAAACTGTGCAACCAGGGAGTTTAAAATTTAGATGGCATATACAGTTCAGAGTCTTGCCAACATTCCCTTTCATAAGCCTGCCACTCCAAAAGTCTCAAAAGATGATCTATTGACCATGTGCTTTATAGTTAAAGCCTTTAAATTTACGTGTCTAGGTCTGGTGTTGGTTCAGCAGGTAAAGGAAGGCATTGCCACCAAGCCTGAGTGAGGACTTGAATTCAATCCCTGGGACCCACATTGTGGACAGAGGGAACCAACTCCCTAAACTATCCTCTGACTTCCACATGTGCACCTATATATACAAATAAATAAAATGTAATACAAGTTTTTGTTGACAAAAACAGATGGCATCTACAATCATTAAGTGTTTGTGTTCATCTTTGTGTATGGTGCAGAGAATGAACCAACCACACAGTGCACCTCTCCATTTATTAGGATTTAAGTTCTCTCAGTAATGTTCTGCAGTTCTAATGTACAGGTCTTAAACATTTTTTCTTTTAAAACTACTTATTTGTTTATTTAATGTGTGTATATGGACACACGTTCATCACTGTGTGTGTGTGTGTGTGTGTGTGTGTGTGTGTGTGTGTGTGTGCGTGCTTGAGTGCACATGCAGAGATCCACACCTGTGAGTTGATTCTCTCCTTCCACCATGTGGGTCTCAGGGATTGAACTGAGATTGTCAAGCTTGACAGCAAGCACTGGACCCACTGAGCCATCTTGTCAGCCCTCTGATGTGGATCTGAGTCTCTTCTCTTCATTCTCTCTATGTAATATTTCCTTCTGGTCTGCCTTATAAAGGTATTTTGTTAAATCCGTTGATCAGCAATTTATACTATTTGTTTTATGTGGGAGTTTATCTTACTGGACTTTCAATTTGTGGGTTCCAGTTATTATCAAATGTAGAAAATTTGACTATTATGTCATAACTATTTTTTGCCCTATGCCTCTTCTTCCTGCCTTTCTTAGGGGCTCCTGTTACTATACTGAGGACAGGGCATTTAGAATTTCCCTACACAGTGAGAAACTCAATGTTTGTTGTTAAATCTCCCCCCTCATTTTGACATCTACCAATCATCTATATCTATCAATCTATTATCTTTATCACTCAAGCATCTATCTCTCACTCTATTATCCATCTATTTATTTACCTGAGAGATGCTTTTTTCAAGGCAGGGTCTCACATAGCTCGGGCTGGCTTTGAACTGACTATGAAGCAGGGGATGACCCTAATCACTCACACCTCTACCTTAGGCATTTGCCAGTTCCCAGCTCATTTTCAGAGCACTTTCATGGACTATCAAGTTTAATGACCTGTCCTGCTACTAATCTCACTTAGTCTTCCACTAAGATACCTCTGTCCACCTAGAGAGTGACATTCGGGTGTAATGTCTTCTCACACACTCATTTCATGTAGAAAATAGACTTATTTCAATGTGCTTCTCTGCTAATCCTGTCATTGCTGGGTCTTTATGAGTTTCTATTTTCCTGCATTTGGTGTCTGACCAAATGCCGCTATCAAGGACTTCACGGGGAGTGGCAGGTTTCATCATTTCCTTTATGGTCACGGAGCTTCTTGCACTTTAGTTCCCTGAGGCTCATTTCAAAGCTTTGCTGGGTGCATGCCGGTAACAGGAATGACACATTCCCACCACAAAGGGATGGGCTTTCTTGAGTCCCTACTGAAGGAATACAGTTGGTAAAAGCAGCATTCAGGCAGCCTCTGAGAACCGCCGGAGTCCTGGTGGACGGCAGTGTTTGGGTTTGTCTGTATGCCCTTGTGCTCCTATCCGATGTGCTCTCTCATCAGCTTTCTATGCAGCATTAGAGTTCTTGTCTCATCTGCTTGTTCTCTCAGAGGTCTAACTCTGCCCTCCAACAAACTTCTAGTCTCTATTCATTAAAGGGTGTTAAGTTGGTGAGGCTAGAGGGCAGCCTTAGCATCACACACATGCTTCCTAACACTAGGAAAAGCCTGGAGGTGAAGCATGCACCAGTCATCTGAAGGGTAACTACAAGAGTAGGTAGAATTTCAGATTCTTACTAGTTATCAAGTATTTCTTTTAAATTAGGAAGGAGACCGGAGAAGCAAGCTTAAAGGCTATCTTCCATCTCCCTCAAGTCTAAAACACAAGAGGTGGGTGGGCCTGCTTTTAACATCCTAGAGTTAAGATGACAAGCTTACCATAAGAAAGACTTTCAAGTTTTCATGCAAGGCTAACAGGAGCTGCAAAAATGAAAGCAAGCTGCATCCAAAATCCTCATCTCTGTTAGTCTTAGGTCAGCTGGGCTATGCTTCAGAGACTATCAAGGTCTCATTCCCCCAGACAGCACTGAAACCTGAAGTGAGAGGGGCCAGGACATACAGCTTTCCTCCAATGGCCGCATCTGTACTTACACTCTATTTATGCAGCAACCATGAAATCAAAGCCATCTCAGCGGGTCAGGAAATAGGATACAGAGCTTAGCATAAGGGCAGCATGCAGTCCCTGCTCGGCTTCATCAAATCCTAACACTGGAACACAGATTCTTCAGTTTTAAAAGTAGCAGTAAGTATCTCTGACATTGAACCCCTTTGCAGCCTGCTAAGTCTGAACAACTGTCTGGAGCCATTCCCATCTATCACAACAGAACTCATGCTCCCGCTGCTGGACACTACCAAGTCTCGATGTCCCCTCCCCACACTTTCCCTGGGTGTGTTTTCAACAGTCTCTCGGCACATGGTCACAGAAATCTTCACAGTGCTTTGCAGAAATGAGAAAAGTGAAAATAAGCTGAATGATGGCAGAGAAAAGATGAGTAAGTAAATCTGGCAGCTACATGGAAGAAGAGGTAGAGCAGCCAGCATGCAGGGAGCTGAGACAGAAGGATTGCTCTGAGCTTGAGGCCAGCCTGGGCTCCAGAATGAGACCTTGCCTCAAAAATAGTAACAAAGCTCAGCACACCTTTAATCCCAGCACTCGGAGGCAGAGGCAGGCGGATCTCTGTGAGTTCAAGGCCAGCCTGGTCTCCAGTTAAGGCACCAAAACTATACTGAGAAACCCTGTCTTGAAAAACCAAAAAGAAAAAAGTAACAAATGTGGGTCAGATGAATAATGCTATGTGTGTAAATATCATTCACAAACAAAATGAGAGAAACCAAGGCAGTGAAAGACTCTTCCAATACCCCACTTACATGCAGTTTTATGAGTGTAACTATTTGCATACACATATGGAGAAAGTTGAAGCAAGCAGCTTCAGCGTAGACACTTCCTTCCTTCCTCTATACAAAGCTGCCCCAGTCCAGTAACCACTGAGTGAGTCTTAAACATTCTATTGCTGATAGTGGCTTAATCACTTAGGAAATAAAACATTTTCTTTTAGTCATATATGCATGCTATCACTTACTAGTTACTGCCTAAAGAAACACTTTCTGGAGGCTAGAGAGATGGCTCAGCAGTTAAGAGCATTTGCTGTTCTTGCAGAGGACCTGGGTCCCAGCACCATATGGTGGCTCACAACCACCTGTAACTCCAGTTCCAGGGGCTCCAAAGGCCTCTTCTTATCTCCACAGGCATATGCATGCAGTACACATATATACATGCAAACAAAGTATCACATACATAAAATAAATTTTAATTTTTTTCTGAATTATCTGCTAGTTTTGAGGTACATAATATTCTTTATTTTAGAAGGTAAAAATTAGACTTAAGGGTTGACCCTGTTACTTAATGGCTGAATGCTTGCCTAGCATGTGTGAAACTATAGGTTTAATCCCTAGCTCCTAAACACAGAGCAAAACAAAAAAACAAACACGCAACAAACCGGAGACTTAAAATTGGAAACTTTTCTTAAAATACAGATTTTTAAAACTTATTTATTTATTGAGTGTGTGTGTGTTGGTATACTATGTATGTGTGGGTATCTGCCGAGGCCGGAAGAGAACACTGGATCCCCTGGTGTTGGAGTTATAGGTGGTTGTGAGTCACCAGATATGGGTGCTAGAATATGAAGCTGGGTCCACTGGAAGAGCAGCAAATGCTATTCACAACCTAGCCATCTCTTCACTCTTTAAAATACATTTGGAATCAAATACTAAAATACTTTAAACACACGTAGGTGGGCAGCTCTAAGACCTCCCACCTCAGCATCTGTATGTTCTTCTAATGAGTGACCACCATTCCCCCAGAATGAAGGCAATGTTACTCACCTGCTTTAACTGGAAACGGTTTTTCCAACAGAAACACTGTCTGTTTCCAGTGTGTTTTGGTGCTCTGAGGGCCCGTAGAGAACACGACCTGCATTGGTAAAGTTCAGAAGTATCTGATGAAGTACACGATTTTTAATATCATGGTACATTAATCTACTACATCAAATACAAGCTGTGACTGCTTACAACAGCAAAATGCTTCTGATCAAACACCTTGGGGCACAAATCAAACAGAGTACTCCGCATAATTAATCCTTATGAATAACTCATGATACTTACCCTGTTGTGGCAATTCTTCTCAAAATATATATCAAAGTACCCAGCAACTGCCTGTGATTTTAAAAAAGAATATGATTGATTATTAAACTAATTACATGATGCAATCATTAACTATTCAGCCTTTTAAGACTTGACAAATTAGAAACCATCTCAAAGACTAGACACCTCACAAACTTATTTATTTGTCACTATCTTTCCAGGAAAAGATGTTGTAAGTAAAATGAAGACTATAATTAGCTTTTCCCCATAGAACAGTGTGATAATAAGGGTAACAAGGCTAATCAAACAATCAATAAATGGCTTCTCAGAGAAATAGTCAAGCAAGACTGCCTAACGTAAGAGGCTAGGAACAGAGGCCCAGCTAGGCTGCCTGAAGAGACTTCAGTTGAAAAGCTGGCAGACAGCAAGGGCAGCCACCCTGCACCCTCCAGCTCTCCTTAGACTTCAGACATCTGCAGCTGAGGGCAGGTTAGGAAAGGCCAGAATGCCAGAGCTCAGTCCAGACTGTGATCCACAAAAACATGGTCTATGAGATCATGGCTACAGTTTGGTTTGGGTTACAAGAAAAGCTCTGTTACACAACTCACTTAATTTCTTTTCATCTAGTTCACCCAACTTCAAAGCAAATTATAATAGCTTTGTGATGGGATTAGTAGATGTAATTTTTAAATGTAACTATTTATTATAAAAATATAATGAGCATAAATCACAGTACTCAAAATTGCTCTTACAAAAATATTATAAACATATATGTTTTTGACAAAATATATGTGGAAAACATATATATGAGGAAAAACATTAAAATTAACTCTAAAGGTTATTAGGACAATACAAGGAAGTCTCCAGAAAAAAATTAGCACATTCAGATAAATATATATTTTACATTTGAAAAAAGATTTATTTTTATTTTATGTGTATGTGTGCTTGTATGTAGGTATGGGCACCATATGGTAATGATTAACATGAGATAATTATTGATAAATATGATGAATAATCCAAAATTGAAAGTTTAAGTCTTTCTTACTGATGGCCAGACCAAGGTGGGCTTGAGCCTCTGAAAAGTATCTTGGTGCTCATGCTCATGCTCAGGGATACAGCATTTTACAGGCAAAAACCACGATACATCAGAATTCAACAAGGGTCAGAGTAACCTTGAAATGTTCATTCCTGGCGGAGGATAGTAGTTATTTTAGACATAACTTGCCAATTATTTTGGCTAATATACCTGGACCATCAAGGCCATAGCAATTTCAAATGTGTGGCCAAGGAAGGAGGAATGGTGGGGGGCAGGAGGTAGAGGGCTGAGAACTGTCTAAGCAAACACAAAATGGAGTCAGACCAGAATGGCCTTACTTAGTCATTTCAATGTGTATCTGACATCTGTGGCAACCAGAAGAGGGCAAAGGTCCCCCAAACTGGAGTTAAAGGGGTTGTGAGCTCTGGAATGTGGGTGTTGGGAACTGAACCTGGGTCCTGGGCAAGACCAGCATGAGTTATTGACCACCAAGGCATCTCTGTAGCCCAATTCTACCTTTGTTTGTTTAAAACTTAAATGTTACCATTCCCTTTTCTTTCATAATGGATTAGGTGGACTTAATCTGTTTTCAAAACTGGCATTAAATTAAGCTCACAAAGTGTTAAAAACAAGGCATTGATTATTGAAAATCTACCATCAGGCCAATTTGTGTGCTCTGCTGCTTTTGCAAAGAATGTGGAGTTTTATTGATCTTGGAGGGCTAATTCACATTGAGTCCGAAGCAAATCCAATACTTAACCTTGAAGTTCATTACATTTTAGACACCAAGAGGGAATGGAAATGCTGTTGATACTTCTGCCAAACAGAGGTTCTCAACACAGACTATCCTAGAGAGCCATGAGGCTATCGTGAGCTTCTATAATACATCCCTGTGTCTCAAATACCTACACAGCACCTTTACAGATGAGGGAGCTGCTTTCATAAGTATATTCTTGGGTGCTTGCCTTGTTCACCACTACACTACTGGTGCCTAGTCCACTGCATGCAATAAAGATTTGCTGGATGGTGCTGAGTAGACACAACTTGAGTACACCACTCACCACACTGATCACACTCTGCCCTATCAGGCTGCAGTCTGCTTAAGAGCAGGGCTGAGGCATGGCTCAAATTTCTAGACTTCTCACCCAGCATCATTTTATGTAGCTCTCAAACATTATTAAATACATTTTAAGTTCTCTGCCTTTTAAACACAGCTAGCCTTATGTAGTTAGGATAACTGACTAAATCATTGTACTTTGTACACTGATGATTCACCACAGAAATGAGTAGAAATAAATAAAACTGATAAGAATCTGTTTTATTACTATGTCTTTTGTTTCTGTTTCGTTGTTGTATGTTTTTAAGACTGGCTTATTTAGAAAAGAAGGAGAATGACTGGGTACAATCTTCCTCTGGGAAGAGAGCGAGGACCAGGGACTGAGTCAAGTACTAATGGCTAAAGATTTAATCAACCATGCCCACACAATAGAATTTTCATTAAAAACCCCTAAGAAGGAGATTCAGGGAACATTCAGACTGGTGGATGCATTTGTGTGCTAGAACAGTGGCTCACAGTGCCTTTGTGGCAAAGGCAACTCCAGTGCTGGGAACTTCCAGACCTGCTCTTGTGTCTATCATAAGACACTGGAAAAAGCAAACTGCTTAAAACCAAGGAGGGTAGGGATCTGCAGCCCAGCTTGACAGAAGTGTAGGTGATGTGGAAATCTACCACTGGTGAATGAAATGTGGGGCTATTCAGGCCGAGACCTTAACTCATGGAATCTGCACTAAATAAACCAATTAGTTTAGAAATGAAATCATAGGACATCTAGCAGGTGTCTGACAATGGGAAGGTTGGTGGAAAACTCAGACATTTGGTATTCAGTGTGTAGGCAGTGAAATGGTTTTCTGTAGGTGACTGCGGAATGGTGAAACAGTCAGAGCACACTATTAAGTGGCAGGCAAACCCGGTGTGTGCATGTGTGACCACAATGCACCTATGAAGACGCTCACCAAGGGAGGGCAGGTGACAACTGTGAATTATTTGTGTTTGCTGTATCTGTCTGCATTGATATTTCTAACAGAAACAACAGCTTAAGGGGAATAGGTAACTGTGACTACTACTACTTTTTATCTATAACATTACACAGACATACACTTCAACCAACCACCATCCCTATCTCAGCTCCCCCAAAGACTGGGCCAAAACTGTTTCACATGCAATAAGAACTGACTGACCTGGGAGGAGTCACCTCTTCCCTAATTAACAACACCATAATAACAACACTTTCCAATGAAGAGAGAGCAGAAAGAGGCAAGAGAAAGTGTAGACGATATGAAAGACATTTCTCAAATCTGAGATGCATTAAAACACACACACAGAAAGAGAGAAAGAGAGAGAGAGAGAGAGAGAGAGAGAGAGAGAGAGAGAGAACTACTTCTCTAATTCTGCTTTTTATAAAAAGTTGAGTGTCAATCAATCACCTGGCAGGACAGCCAGAATGATGACAGAATACCAGTATGAAGAGGGAGTTCAAAGTACAAAGATACCTTAGAGCTGTCTTCTAACCCCAAACAACTGCCTATGAATTTCAGCTAAAAAAAAAAAAATATCAAAGATGAAGCTGATCTGCCCACTCCCACCACAAACAGTGAAAGAAATATTGATGAACTGGAAGGAAGGAAGGAAGGGAGGGAGAGAGGGAGGGAGGGAGGGAAGGGAAGAAAGAAGGACAGACAGACAGAAAGGTTTCGATGTTTCTTGTGTTTTGGTGATCAGCATCTGGAACCCTCCTGACCTACGCCCCCCTCTGGACATGCATCTGCCTCTGCTTCCTCAGTCAGGCCTGTCGTCACAATGGCATTTGGAGGCCCAGACCCCAGAAAACCGAGGGGACTTAGGAAACGTTGAGCAGTATCTGCAGACAGCCTGCTCTTCAGTGTGCTTTCCCAGGACCAAAAATACAGAACACACTGGCTCTGGAAAGCCAAAGGGGCAGTTTCTGGACTCGTTTGAGACAGGGTCTCACTGTGTAACCCAGGTTGGCCCTAAACACATGCTCCTCCTGACTCAGTCCAAGTGCTGGGACTATATTTTGTTCTTAAATAGAGCAAGCTTTACCATGCCTCAGTCTTCTCCTTCTCCCTTCATGTGGCTAGTTAGTAATCTGTCCTTATCTGTGCTTGCTGGATTTATTTGAATTTCAGTTACTCAAGGACAACTGTATTCTAAAAACAGTAAGTCAATTCTAGAAAGTCACAAATTTAAAGTAATTTACTATAGTATGTTATAATTGTCCTCTTTTAATACTGTTACCCTTTCACTGTGCACTGTGCTTTGGATGTATGGTAACTTTACTGGAGACATTCATGCATGTGTTGGCCAGTACATGAGATACATTGGTGTGGGTACTGTCCATGACTTCAGGCACTCAGGGGGCTACGAGATAAGCGGTTCTTAGAAACAGGAAGAAGACTCAATCTCAAATGCAGTTGTGGAAGCCAGCTGAACTACGGCTGGAGCTCGTACTTCTACAGAGCCACTGGGTAGAGTGCTGTTTTCAATCAAACGTCAGCTGGTTTGAGAACAAAACTATTCCATCCAGAGACATAAGGTGCTACTGCTTTTCAATTACAGTCCCACCATCCTGTTGCCATCACTGTGGCAGGCTGTCTTAGGTCTTCCAAGCACTAACTTGTTACTTTCTTTTTTGTTTGTTTTTGTTTTTTGACACGGTGTTTCTCTGTGTAGCCTAGGCCTGCCTCTGCCTCCTGAGTGCTGGGATTAAAGACGAGCACCAGCACACCTGGCTCCAGGTGATAATTTCAATGACCTATATGCTCCCCCTGAAGTCACTCAAACACAAAAATCGACTACTACCACAGAGAACTGGAAATGGAGAGCAGGTGGCTCAGAAGGTAGGCACAGAGCACATTTCTGTTAGTTTCCCTTAGATACCTCGTCAGCAGCAGTAGGGACTGCTTGGGAGAAAGAGGTATCAAAAGTAGCTGGTTAATCTACAAAGTCAGAGTGATA